ATGAAGAAAGACGGGGCACCATGGGACCCCGGTTCCTCTAGGTGAGCTCTGTGTGGTCGAGCGACAGAATCCTCTGCTCGCTTAGGGAAGTCAGGGATTTGGGGATCATCTTTCATTGGAGGTTCAAAAATAACAAATATAACAAACACCGGCCCCCAGCGGCCCCCTGGGTAATGTGGGGATTGGGGTGTTACTGAGGCCTTTGCAGTACCCAAAGGCTCAAGCTCACAGGGAGCCAGGAGCGAGGTCCTTCATCCGCTCAGCCTCAGGGAAACTGAGTCGCCAGCGCTTGCTCCAAAAGCACCGGGCAAACTCCAAGACGGACGAGCTCCATCCGCCAGGGCTGCCGGCTGGACGCAGGAGAGAGGGGCTCTGGGAGGGGCTGGCTGCACGGGCTAAGTCAGCCTCTGGCCGCAGTGCGGCGGCGGATTGGTTTTTCCAGCAGTAACAGCGCAGCTGGTATTGCTGCATATTTGCAGGAACAAAACCGCCTGTGTTTTCTCCGTAAACTCTTTAGACCTTTTAATGACAACATCGCAGGATAACAGCCTGTCTCCTCGGTCAGTTCTTCCCGCTGCTGTGTCCACCCAGCGCACGCTGCAGCCGGGACAACACCTGGACTCAGGTGGCTCTCTCCTGTCGCTGGCGTGTGGTCTTTCTGCTCCAGGCACCACAAGGTCAGAGGTCAGCGTGGTGCTCCCTGCACCCGAGGCTCAGAGCCAACTCTGCCCACCGAGAGCGCAGGGGGACGGAGCCGCTGAGGGACCAGCACTTTCCTGCACACGTGTCATGTGTGTGTGTGTGCGTGTGTGTGTGTGTGTGTGTGTCCCCTTCAGAAATTAAATATTCACCTTTGCTTGAGTGACCTCTTTGTTAAACCTAAAAATAAAAAAGGCACCTTCCTCCGTGGGATCTTCTGATGCGGCCGGTTTTTGATGACTGTGCGTTTTTCGCTCAGAACATCAGCCAAATGCTGAGCGGACGGTCGGGCGCCTGTGGCAGAGGCTCCTTGGGGCTGGGTTCCTTGGAGGGAAATGAGAGCAGCTTGCTGTTGCCCTTTTCTATAACGAAGGAGAGTTCTGTGCGGCCTCATCTCCAGGGAGGCAGAACGGCTGTTTCTGTTCCTGCTTTTAATTTACAAAACCACCCAGGTCACAGCGACCACCCCTCGCGCCTGAAAATCACCTCCACCGTCACAAGTGCACGTGGGGGCCTTTCGGGGACACGGGCCTCCCCACAATGGGCCGCCGCGTGCAGGCTGTCCCTTCGGCTGAGCCTTTCCCCACAGCCCCCCTGTGCCTGGGTGCGAGCTCCAGACCCGCCACCCTCGGGGGAGACGGCCACCGTCCCACACCTGACTCGGTCGCTCTCCTCCCTCTGCTCCACCGTATGTGCGGCCTTAAAGAGAACCCAGGCCCTGGCCGGTGGCTCAGGCGGTTGCGTGTCGTCCCATGCACAGGGAGGCGGCCAGCTCGATTCCTGGTCAGGGCACATGCCTGGGTTGCGGGCTCGGTCCTTGGTGAGGGGTGTGCAGGAGGCAGCTGATCAATGTTGCTCTCACATCTATGTTTCTCTCTCTCTCTCCATCCTTCCTCTCTTTCTCTCTAAAAATCAATTAAAAAACTATTTTACAAAAAAGAGAGAGAATCCAGGCCACGGCCTCACTGTAGGTCCCAACTGTCATGTCACCGAGCCATGAAAAGTCCTGTCCGGAGCCTGTGGATGGATCCACTGCACATGATGTGTCCCTATCCGGGGGTCTCCGCCTTCCCGGGCCCTTGGGTCTCGTTTCAGCAATGTCACTGTGGTCAGCAGGAAGATGAAGAAAGACGGGGCACCATGGGACCCCGGTTCCTCTAGGTGAGCTCTGTGTGGTCGAGCGACAGAATCCTCTGCTCGCTTAGGGAAGTCAGGGATTTGGGGATCATCTTTCATTGGAGGTTCAAAAATAACAAATATAACAAACACCGGCCCCCAGCGGCCCCCTGGGTAATGTGGGGATTGGGGTGTTACTGAGGCCTTTGCAGTACCCAAAGGCTCAAGCTCACAGGGAGCCAGGAGCGAGGTCCTTCATCCGCTCAGCCTCAGGGAAACTGAGTCGCCAGCGCTTGCTCCAAAAGCACCGGGCAAACTCCAAGACGGACGAGCTCCATCCGCCAGGGCTGCCGGCTGGACGCAGGAGAGAGGGGCTCTGGGAGGGGCTGGCTGCACGGGCTAAGTCAGCCTCTGGCCGCAGTGCGGCGGCGGATTGGTTTTTCCAGCAGTAACAGCGCAGCTGGTATTGCTGCATATTTGCAGGAACAAAACCGCCTGTGTTTTCTCCGTAAACTCTTTAGACCTTTTAATGACAACATCGCAGGATAACAGCCTGTCTCCTCGGTCAGTTCTTCCCGCTGCTGTGTCCACCCAGCGCACGCTGCAGCCGGGACAACACCTGGACTCAGGTGGCTCTCTCCTGTCGCTGGCGTGTGGTCTTTCTGCTCCAGGCACCACAAGGTCAGAGGTCAGCGTGGTGCTCCCTGCACCCGAGGCTCAGAGCCAACTCTGCCCACCGAGAGCGCAGGGGGACGGAGCCGCTGAGGGACCAGCACTTTCCTCATTCGCTTGGTCCTCAACTGCTTTGGGACAGAGTCGGCTGCGCAGTCCTGCGGCCACTTCTCCTAACCTCACTGTGCTTTCCTCTCCCTAGCGGCCCCATCTCCGCCCACCTGCACGCTGCTAGCTCCTTCCTCCCACACACAGGTCCCCGCGGGCTGCGGGCCACTGGCGGGCTGCGGCCTCTGCCCCAGGAATCCGGCTGTGAGCGCGTGAAGTCTCTCTTCCTTCTGACCAGGGCTCTCGCCGAACAGGCCTTTCCCTCGAAGCCGTCAGTGTCAAGGCCTCGGCCGTGCTTGCTGCTCCTGTTGGTGAGTTCTGGGCCGTCCTTCACAGCCAGAGGTGACTGGCTTTTTATTTAACTGGCACTTGGTTACAAACCAGACAGACAGCAGGGCCTCGGGAATAAACACACACGTACACACTCTGCCTGTGGCTCCACCGCCAGCGACTACGCCCAGTGATTCCCACGGCCCAGGGGCAACCTGCACTCCCGGCTGCCCCTCCGCGTCACGCTCTCGCTTCCCTGACGTCCGAGTTCAGGGCTGAGCATCCACGTAAGGGGGAAGCCCCTGCAAACCAGCACTCCCTTCTGAAAGTGGTGGGGACAGAGCTGTGTGTGAGGGGGGCTGGGCTGCGTCTCGGCTCGTTCTGGGAAGTGGGTTTTGCTGAACCCCCCGAGCCGGGGCAGCGTGTCTCTACGTTGCTCCTGCGAGAACGAGGCTGCGGGTACCACGTGAGAGTGCACCTCTCAGGTTCCACGTCAGGAGGCTACGTAACGATGAAAGGAACAACGGAAGATCCCCAACAGGGTTCTGCGGAGACGCCCCCAGCCCCACTCATCACTGTCCTCATCCCCCGCCCCCGTCAGACCAGGCTCTGTAGCCTGGAGCGCAGGGAGACTGGCTGAAGAGAAGGTGGGGCGGCAGGTGCATCAGGCCTCCACCTGAAACGATGATTCAGGAGAAAGGCAACTGACCTCATTAACGGTAGTGTTTCTTCAGTTCGTGCTAAAAATGCCTCGGCGCAATAAAACCCACGAACTGACCACCCATGGTTCTATTCTTGGAGTGGAGGACACGTAAGCACGTTCGGTGAGGATGCCGCGTGCCCCCCAGTCAGTAACTCAGCCACCCGGGGGGTCCCCTCTGCCTGTTTCGGGGTACCCTTTGGGAGGCAGATCTGGGCCGAACCAACCCAGGGACCGCTTCTGGAACCGACTGTGCAATAACGCCGCCCTGTCTGCATCGCCGGCCGAGGCGCTGGCCGAGCTGCAGGCATGGACCCACCCGGCTTTCAGACACGGGTGCCGAGAACAGCCCTCTAGGAGGCACCGCCACGCGGCAGGTGGGCGAGCGAGGAGGCTTGGAGGCAGTTTACCTCCAGAGATAGAAACATTCAGAAAGGCAAGAGCAGGCGCAGCTCACAGTCAGAGAGCTGGTGGTGGCAGCCCTCGAGGTGGAGCGATGGTGTGGCGGGTGAGGACACGGGTCCAGGAGCCAGCACACTGAGTCCGAATCCTGGTTCTACCACCTGTCGGCTGTGTGTCCTCAGGCAAGTTACTCAGCCTCCCTGAGCCTCAGTTTCCTCAACTGTTATTGGGAGCGACAGTATCCACCTACAGCAGTGGTTCTCAACCTGTGGGTCGCGACCCCTTTGGCGGTCGAACGACCCTTTCACAGGGGTCGCCTAAATACATCCTGCATATCAGATATTTACATGACGATTCATAACAGTAGCAACATTACAGTTATGAAGTAGCAACGAAAATAATTTTATGGTTGGGTCACAACATGAGGAACTGTATTTAAAGGGCCAGAAGGTTGAGAACCACTGACCTACAGGGTTGTTGTGAGGGTTCAATGAATGACTTTGTAAAGCCCTCAGGACAGGGCCCGGTGTATAGTATTTGTTAAATAAATGAAGAAAGTGGGGCCCTATAGGAAGAGTCTGAATAAAGG